GTCGATACAGTCTGTTAACTATGGCCTATTTTTGCAAAAATGTCTGGCAGGATAGCATGCACAGATGCTGGCTACTGGAGTGCATTGAATCATGACCGTTTTTCAACGACTTAACCTGATAGCGTGAAACTCCCCTGACCGGAAAAGGGTGATAAGTAGTTCGCTAATTTGCCAATTGGTATTTACTGTTGTCACATTATTAGCATTATTATTATGGTGACATTACAAATAGGAGAATTCGTGCTTGGGTGTGAAAAGGGGTCGTCAAGTACAATACTCACATGGGTGGGTATTTATTATTTATTTCCCCACTGATCAGCCAAATTTCATGAATCGCTAGCAATGTCTGTTAAATTTCCATGTCAAATGCATGTATTATTTATAGTATGTAACCATGAGGTGAACTTTTAAGCAAGTGTTTTAGAATTGCTGTTGCTGGTCGCTGTGCTTTAGACCCTTTAGCGTGTAATTTTACTGAAAGATATTTCCTGATGGAAATTGAAGGACATAAATCTGAAAAGCCTAAATGTGATACTAAGAATAATCATCAAATCAGATAAGTTTGTAAACAATGTAAAGTTCCTGTGTGTGTTATTCCATGTTTTGAAAAGTATCACACTCTGCTCAACTACAAGGTGACCTTCAACTAAAGTCAAATATAATGAAATAATTATTCATAATTGTATGTTCGGATGCACTTGTGGAACGCCGGTCGAAGAGCCGGTGAAAATAGCTAAATTCGAGAAAACAACATAAACTCAACTTTGAAGTAATCCTGAACAACCAAATTGATAAATGTTGCATGTGCAAGGGCAATCTTTTTACACTATTCAGGAGTCTGAACTATTCCAAAGTACCATTTTCTGATAGTTTTCGGTCTTTGTTTTCACCGCGATAGTTGCCAGGCAGTGAAAATGGACGCATGTATGCCCTGAGAATAGGTCATATTTTGTCAGAAATGAGTGGAAATTGGAAAAAATATATGATTTATATGTAATCTGTGTAATCTAATTTTGTAATAGCCCAGATTCTTATCAGCACTCAAAACTGGGTTGGACAAGTTATTTTGTATTTCAAGGTATGATTTTTGGCAGCTAAAAAAAGTATGTGCATGTTTTGTTACCTCCTTGTGTTTAGTATATTGCAGGCTGATCAGCTGGTTCTTGGCGTTTCGAAGCTTGGACGATTAA